GGTTGAAAGTCAATAGGAAATAGGTAGATTGAAATATTATTTTATTGAATCAAGCAGGACACTGTAATTATTATGCCAATGAAAGACTGAATCAATACAGATATAGGCAAAGCCGTGAGATTGAAGACATTGAAGCAAAAATAGGACACCAGTCTTTTCTTCTCTGATTATACGGAATTCGATTCATTGAAAGCGAATAGATTGAATCCTATATAATTTCATGATTTTTTCAAGTATGATACAACGGACTTCAATAAGAAGTGGAAAAAGCGATGTATAACGCGTTAACAGGTACAATGAAAATATTAATAATTTCCATCATCCTATAATATTAAGCGGAAAAGAAGAGTTGATTTTCTCGGATTTTCTTGTGAGATTTGTGTTGAAGGTGGAGCAAATTACATTCAGAGAAAATGGTTATATACCTATACAGATGACATAAATGGACAAGTTTAAATTCAATGATTAAAAATGAGATACCAGGGTAATATCTTTAAGGATATACACGATTCATCTTTGAATGGACCAAATAATTATTATTACATTATTACATTATTCAACCATAGATCGCGTACTGAGAGAGGAAAATTGAAATTAACATTAAGTTTGAGACTCAACGAGTTTTGCACCCTCGTTCACGTGACATTTCTCTGTCTTCTATGTTTTTTCAATGCTCTGTACAGGAAGGTATCAAGCAAGAGCGGTTCTAGTAATTTATATCATTATATCTTTGTATTTCATGTTTTCATGATTTTTTAGGTCGTAGATACAGAACAGTCGTAGAGAGAAATAGAATTTTTCGTAAATGAGGGCTAACATTTTCAGTCCCACCAGTACTAAAACCGACTAAAACGTTAGGTCAATGTCAACATTTTGCAAGATAGTCCTGAAGGCTGTGGCCTATTTATTCGGAAAAAATTATGTAAAATATTTGAACATTTAGAAATCTCAAGTTATAGAAAGACTTGAGCAGACCTACGCTTTTTTACAATCAATGCGAAACTTCACGACATTGACGAAGAAGAAGAAATCGTAGAAAGGGGCCAAATGACACGAGAAGAAGTATATTCCTCAATTTCGAGATCAGTTTTACCAACTATGACCTCACGTTTCAATGACGCGATATGGTGGACAATAAATGATGTTAGCTCTCATTGATCCACAGCCACTTTGGTCCTTTCTGAACTTTGATAACCTGTATTTCGAAAACTACTAATCTTTCAGAAGAAGTTCATTGAAATTAAGACACCTATTAGTATAATATGCTATATTTCAATTCAGAATAATTACTTAGACAATATTTTATTGAATTTCAGACAATGATTTTATTGCTTTCTTGACCGTTCCAGTTAAGTATACCTTGATATGAAGTCATTTAGGTTCCTATCGCTTTTTTATGCATTAAACTTTCTGCCCACTTCAAAACTACTGGAGAACTGAAATGCAATAGCTATTCGGAATTATCTAAATATCGATCTGAATCGAGATCTGAACCTATACTCCGTTAATTCGGTCTAAAGATGGAAGCAATCATTCTGACTTCCCTCTACCACATCCAGAAATCAATGGGCGAGTGGACTAACTATGAATTATTGGCATTCAACTGCTCCACTGTGTCCTATATTAATATTTTGCAACACTTCTCATGCGCATTTCATGTAAATAATGAATCTATGCGTTATCCAAAATTGTTGAATTTCAGAGCTCATTTCAAACGTACCGTTATAACCGCCATTTGGCGATACGTCTAATGAATGGTGACGTCAGTTTTCATGCTGTTTCGTTATCGACCAGATAATCTTTCATTCCCACTTATGAAGCAAGGTTCTCAAGTCATCAATTATAATTAAATTATCAAAAAGATATTAGAGTCTTGTCACTCCTATCTTTGAAAAAAAAAACACTCGATGAAACACGAGATAAAACATGATAGGAGGAAGCAATGATATTATAGTTCATTCTTGACTTTTTCGACCAACCAGCATGTCCAAATATTTCTTATACTTCAGAACAAAATATCATGTAAATGTTGAAGACTTGGCAACAATATGCTGAACGCTGAGAACTGACAAGGCACCACCCACAATTCGTGCGCCGTGTTGTCACGTCCACTGGTTCAAATGTCTTCTAGTGTGAATTATAATAATTCAGTGACTAGGTAGATTTCTCATCTTTTCATCAATAAATCGATTTATCCAACGAAACCGAAAGCAGGCAAGTTATATTATTTGAAAATGTTTAGTTTTGGTTGATATTTCTCAATGCCAGTATAAAATGTCAAGTGATGACAATAAGATTATTTCTACACCATGCACTAGAAATTCTGGTAATAGCAAACATAATTGTTTAACGAATGTGTTTTTTGCTCTGTTTTTTGTTATTGAGAAAGTTGTTGAAATATGAAAGACCTCGTGAAAGACGCTACAATTCAGTTCAAATTGAGGAGAAATCGAGAGAAAAATGGCTCGTTATGCAATTTACCAATAAACAAATATACAAGAATTGTAATTTATTCATGCAGATAGATTGAAGTGACGGGAAACGTATTCGATGTTTGTGCTCGGTACGATATCTGTACTAACCTGGAAGGAAGTATAGTGTGTTCGCAGAAAAAGTATAGTATATTTCTCGAGTTGTAAAGCAATTACGCACTTGTGGAGTTACACTCTCTCCACTTCGTGCGTAATATGCGTTTTACAACTCTTGTAATGTACTTAATATACTATTACAGTCAATCAATTAGCCATTGGCGAAACCTTCGGCAAAACCCATCTTATTGAATAGCCCCTCTCAATTCAGGTGAAGCTGCTGCTGCTGACATTATGGCACCCTCTTGAATGTGTATATGATTGAATGAATGATGTCGTATTGAAGTCACAGATGTATACTTATCTGATTTTGTTATGTATACAATTTTAGACTTTTTGCGAATTATTCGTATAATATGAATGAAATCAAGTTTTCGCTTTAATTTAACCGCAGAGGTCATCAACCATTGACAAGTTCATCCGCTGATAAAACAAACATAAATTTACATAATTCATATAATATGTGATATATTCGAAAAAATATTTCAGAGAATCAATAAAATATACCGAGGAATATAACTATTATGTTGCCACACAATAATCATAGGACACAACAATTATGGAAACACTATACACATTACTCTTAAACGAACATAAATGCAATTAAATATTGACTAGGTTTTTTCAAGAGTTTGAGTGGTACCGCCAACATTCCTTCAACAATTATTTGAAATCAGTTCTATCACGCGGTTTCTTAAAAGTTCAACACCTCTTGTCATTGATTTGTTTGAAAACTACGATCTTGAAAAATGAGTAGTTACTCGACCTCGAGAGTATATGCATTGCTCTCGAAAGGCACCATAATTTGTTTACTCATGTTCGAAAAAGCAAATAGTGCCAGAAGATGTTATGATTACAAAATAAAACAATAGTAGAAATCTTTGGTTTATGTTCTCTTCACCAAAATAATAATGATATTAATCTTTGGTAGAAGTCCATATTGCTCAAAGTGGAGTGAAATATTTCACAGGAAGGAAGGAATGCTCGAAGTCATCTCCACAAATTTCAATGATGTTGTTACATAGTCATGTTTCGGTCTTATAAATTTGAAGTGAAAGAGTTTCTGCTTGACTCACTTGGAGTTGAGATAATTTTTGATGCTACACGTTCTTGAATTTTTGTCAATGCGTGCCCTGAGAGCGCATACTATTGTTTTCATTGAAAATTCCATATACCAGAATGGTATATGAAGGGTATTGCCAAAAAGTTTTGTTTTTGTCAACACCATAAATTAACAGGTTTTTTAAAAAAAGGGTTCCCCGTGCCCTTATGAAAGCGCTACTTAGAGAGAAATATCAAGAAAATTGATGGGGCAAACAGCCAGCACGTGTTTAAATAATGTTTAAATAATGATATTATTTGAAAATATCCGAGAAAATATCTATAGAGCTGAATTTTGGGAAACAGAGGTAGCCACCGAGGATACTCACGAATTTCAACATGAGACTCATCACATAATTCAAGGCTTATTCCCAAATTTGTTGCTCTGTATCATAGAAATATCTGTGGCTTTGATAGCTTCGGCCGAACTCAGCAAAGCCACAGATTTCTCTATGCATAATAGAGAGGAGAGGTTCAGAAAATTTGTGAATTAGTTAGCCTAAAATGATGTGATGAGTTCCATCCTAAAATTCGTGAGTGGATTTGCTAGCTTTTCTCGCTATAATTTAAGGTATGTTGAAATTTTCAAATTCAAAGATACTGAGTTGAAATTTCTACAAAATTAAATGGAGATCACACCATAAAATGTTGCAATATTATCCATCCAAGGAAGAATTTCTAATTAGTATTTCACTGATGGAGGCCCTGAGTATGAGTAAGTAATTTTTTTGATGCCACAATTCATATATAAAAAATTGTTCGTCTACATAGAGTCTGAGTACATTTCTCCAATATGTCTCATGGGTATGTCAAAGTTGACATATTTTAGAAAAAGTTGTCAAATCATTTCTGTTTCTTTGAAAATTTCGAAACTAAGTAATATATTTATGTCTCGATTTGAATGTCTTCGTACATCTTCTTATTATTTTCATGTTCGTATTTCATGAGTACCTAAGTACTTATATAAATAGGTATAAAATTATCGAAATATTGGATAGTTTCCCATCAGTTTCCCTAAGGGGTGAAATCAATTACACTTACTGAATATAGTTAATTATAATAATTAAGAGTGGCTGGTTGATTTGCTGATGAGTATATTCCAACTATTGAAAAACACTCGGCTATTAATACATTAGGTAATTTTTTTGCATTACGATAATGTTCAAAAATATTGTATCTCAGTGCTGCTAGATGCTAGAATGCTAGATGTCCATCCATCATCAATGAAGCAGAGTTATTGGACATTTCTCAAAAGTGAAATAAAATGTGGGGTTTCGATTAAGTAAAAATTTTTAAATACAAAAAACTCACTCTTTGTGTTACTTCCAAAGTACCCACAAAACTTGCAATCGAAAACTAAATTGGACTATTCAAAAAACCAAAACACGCGCGAAACTTTCGCTATAGCACTTTCGGAGCACGTGCGTACGGTATCGCAATAAAAAATCGACCGAACCTCAACCAAACGAAATACGAACTGAACGATTTGGATTTGCGCTATCTCAACTCCACACGGTTATAAATATTCCCACCTAACCTATAAGGCACCGTCAACTTACCGGCCTACCTACTGAAGATACTGAGTATATTCAATAAATAAGACAACAAATTTTTGAGCGGTTTCATTGGAATTCGAAAAATGTTTCTACAACACTACTAATCACAAAACAAAATAATATCCCCATACGCAAGACATACTAAGGAATCTAAGGATAGTTTTGTGTCACTTGTCATTTGAGAATTACTTCACGCATCCCATGTCGAGTTAAAACCCCCCCTTCACCGCTCTACCACGTCATGGTAACCATGATTCTCATGATGGGCCCCATTCGATTTTTAATTACTTGGATGACCAAGTGTTGGTACCCTCCATGAAGCCCTTTGGGCCATGGACACTTTGCCTTCCATTAATTGTCAAAAATGTCAATTCATATTGAATAATATTAGTGTTGCTCCCTTTTTCATTCCAACGTGAGAACATGACCTAAGGTATGATTTTGTGAAAAAACTTCTTTGTAGAAATTGTCTTAGAATGCTTCTGCTGATGATGGACTTTTGATATAGTCCGAAACATGATCAGATACTGATAATGCTGATAATAAACTTGTGGAAGTGACTTAGTGTGTCTTGCGTATGAATTCATTCACTCCACTTTGAGATACCATGGACTTCTACCATAGATTAAAATAATATCCTTTTTTTATTGGGATTTTGCGTATTGATTCACGACTAATGTAGTTTTTGCACTATAATAATGTTATATTTTATTCTCTTGTAAAAATGTAAGTACTGCAAGAAATAAAGAGGCCTATCAATCGTCAGTATTCCCAATGAAAATAATATATGGCATTATAGTGCAAAAACCACAAGTATATACTATACTTTAATAAGCCCTCAGGGGCTCACAACTTGTGAGTAACGGAATGGTAAACCCGAAGTACCCTAGCCGGATATTCATCAAACTTGTCTTGGGGGTGATATCCTCTTCTCTTTTCCATTTCCAATCTATCCTATCGGCCTTTCTTGGCCAACTTCTCTTTCCTCTTCAATATCTCCGGGCCAGATGCGACAATCATTTGTGGACATCTGCCTAGGTGGCCAAGGACTGGTCAACGAGGCTCTGGCAACCTAATCCAAGCTGTGGGAACCTGTGGCGATGAATGAATAACCTCTGGGAAATAGGGCGACATCTCAGAGTGAACGGCCTTAGGGCTGGACCAACCCGTTTCCCGTTACTCGTAGGAGAAGGAAATTTGGCCTCGTTCGTAGACGAGAACAGGGATCGGAAGAGTAATCTTCAGGAACCTGAACGAAAACGGTATTTCGTATTGGAGTGGCCCTTAATGAGCACCATAATACGTATATGGTTATATCGATAACGGCATCTAGGTAAGATGCCACTAGGCCTGAGTGGTTATGGTTCCAACAGCTTGAAATTATGGAACAATATCTGAAATAATGGTACGCGCGAATGGCGAGCACGCAGTCATAATTTGTCTATGTTTTTCGACATTTATAAATCTTTGGTATTGAAGTTAATAGACCTCGACACTTTGGAACATTGCTCGTATTGACAATTGGCAGATGAAATATTTATTGAGATTCAGGACAGAATTTTGAATTATTTTTCCCAAAACGAATGATAAACAACAGCATAGCCTAACAGGAGCATTTCATTCTTCTTTTTCTTTTTTTTTTATTCTCATTGTCAAGTTTGAGTTGAGCTCTTGTGGTGACATCACATGTGAGATCACCGGTGAATCACACGTAACAAACGTCATTATACATTCGTAAAGTATATGTTTTGTGAAAAACGCTTTAAATCAACTGTGAAATCAGCAAAATCAACGAAAACAAAAATTGGCGGAAACTAACTAGCAACATTGCTCTTCATGTCCAAAGTATGGTATAAAAGACGTACAGATACCATAATCATGATACGGTTGGCAACGCTGCAGACGACTTTACAAACGGGGTGGAGTGTTAAGTGGGTATATCCATGTATATCCAAGAGTAAGGAGACTCCCACACTATCAGATGGATATTAGACCCAAATTATGTTCAAAAAGGATTTCGTCATCTCGACGAAGAAAAAATACTATAAGTAATATTATTCGAGTAATTTTAGTCGTGGATTAAGAAAAGTATTCAACTCGCATGATGACTATTATTCACACTGAATGTTACCCGCGAATATCCCGCGAGAATAATGAATAACATTTATTGACTCGTGGTATAATCTATTATCATTTCAAGTTGCAAGAAAAACATGTCTATCTTGAATTCTGAATTCGCCTCGGAATAATTCTGCTTGATCTCGAAACGTTTATCGTTGTCCGGAAGGAGATGAACGACGATCTTCGACTATTCGTGAATAGGTCGATGATACACTCCATAAAACATAACTTGATCACAAGAAATCCGCCAAACAAACTCTTGAGGAATATTGGCACCTATATAAAAAAAGATAGACAGATAGAGGAGGAGCCATAAAATGGTACACAGAAGGCTCCAAAACCGAAAATGGAAATGGAATTAATAGGAGTCTACGGGCCTTGTACCAAGTACTATTTGGAAATGTGTATAGTTCAATATAGAAAAATGCTATGAAACAGGATATCATTATCATAATGTATGTCTGATGGTCAAAATATTCTGGAATAGAAGGAGATGAAGTAACCGACAAACTCACTCCTTCGTGAGGCTAGAGACCTTCTGTGGGATCAGGAGTAGTTCTGTATCAGAAGAAATTAGAAAAAAAGAAGCTGAACAAAGATGAGACATCTGGGAAAATCTACGAAGTCTCCGACAGGCTAAAATACTAGGTCTGATATATACGGCCCGGGAGTCCTATAACCTAACAGGGCACTGCCGGTTGTGAGGACATCTTATAGCAAGTTCGGCTCAGAAGAGGAAGTTCTGCATAGGGTGATATATTCCGTGAGTGTGTGTTACCACATTCGCTGTAGTCAAGGTCATCATCTGACGTTGCGATGGCATGAAAACGATGGGAAAACATTCCTAACTCCTGGCTTAGATTGAAAGTGAGACATGTTTTTCTGTAGTTTTCATGTCATAGCAACGCCAAATGATGACCTTGACTACCGAGAATACAGAACTCAAGGGCAAGAAACCTAAGAGCACACATAATCATCATCACATTTCTCTGCGTACCTAGGGAGGATAGGGAGGTAGGTATAAGTTCTTGGCAATACTTCCATTGGCAATTAATTCCAATTTAGTTTTGCAAAAAATCGTGAAACAATTCATTATTAAAAGTATCCTCTCTTTACAGCCCTCACATACTACTGAAGTTTCATAAGTGTCTCGAATTAGACAAATAGTTTCTAATCAGGAATGAGTCTATTTCCATCAATCTTCTTATGAACATTTTCCATAAAAAGTATACATGAAATTTCAAACAAAATTTCGCTTGGTCGGTCATGTTTTAGCTGAAGCAACAATAAAAACCATTTGACGGATCTCTTTCACCAAACAATGTCAATATAACAATAACGATGCACTAGTAAATAGTAATTTCGAAATAGGAAGGGCTCCAAAATCAAGAATTCTCTCCCATAGAACAGAAATTGATAGGTCTTGTTGAAGTCCCGAACAGATTAGCATTATTGTAGTCCTATGAAGAGCACAAAAGATTGAACTCATGCTGAAACACTGACTCTAAAGGAGCATTCTACATTCAACCCATTCTTTTGAAGCATGCTACAATAAGATTCTTTGTATAGTTATATGACAAACTATAAGACAAGCTGTAATAGCTTTCATGAAAGTGGACCCTTCAGGTTATGATAAAATTTTTCCATAGTTTTAATGATGTTATTACAGCACAATAGTTTTGAGAAGGTGTTTTGAAGTAAGCTATAACGGCTAAGCTAAGATGATGTAACTAACTGTTAATGCTTTTTGGGTTAGTTTTGTTTCATCGAATGATTCATGAATATTTCAAAAGGTGTCAGCCATTCTGGTAATTTTTGTTTTATTCCTCATATGATGTCTAATTTCCTTCATGTTTGGAGAAGATAATTCACCTAGTTTTTTAAATATGGAACAATTCATCAATTATTAGAACTATCCGCTCCCTTTCAGAATCACCATGAATAATTTGTGACCGAAAAGCGATTTCAATATTATATTTGTAGATTGTAGATTGTAGATGGGTCGTATAGGCTGAGAGACCTCTCTATCACTGCGACCTAGAAGATCAATTGTGATTACCCCTATCTAGTTTTGGTCCTCTAACCCTACACTTCTGATGAAGCCTACGATTGTCCTGACGGTTGACTTTTCCACTTCAGCAGGGGTGAGATAGACCTGTTCTAGGTGGTTCAGCCTTTGGCGGACTAATACTTCACATGAGCAAAGTATGTGTTCCGCGGTTTCGGTCGCATTGTTACAAAAGCGGCAAGTGTCAGTCTCCGCCAGACCCATCTTCTTGAGGTGGTACCTCAGAGGGCCGTGTCCTGTGAGAAAGCCTGTGATAAGCTTTAGCTCTGGTTTTCTGAGGCTGAGTAGCTCTTTGGCTCGTTTCTGCGAATGGTTGATGAACCTTTTCGCTTGTCGTTGACCTGGAATTGCTCTCCAGTAGGAGGACTTTTCAATTTCTTCCCATTTCCCGAGTTCTCCCTTTAGGTGACATTTGCTTATCCCACAAAAAGGCTCAGGACCAAAAAGTGCAGATGCTGCACTTTTTTGCAAGGAGATCAGCTGCCTCATTTCCTCTGATTCCTTCATGCCCTGGAACCCACATAAGTGTGACTTTGTTGCCCTTTCCCAGTTGCATGAGTGTTCCAAAGCAGTCCCATGTAATCTTTGATTCGAAAACGAATGATTTTAGGGCTTTTAGTGCGGCTTGGCTGTCTGAGCAGATATATATGTTGGCACCCCTCAGACCTTTGCTCAGGCACCTTTGGGCGCAAAGGTTGATGGCATGTATTTCAGCTTGGAAGATAGTGGGGGAGTGACCTAAGGCTTCAAATAGCCTACATCCGGGTCC